TCCCTTCTACACAGGCCTGTATGGTCCCCTCCCCTTGCGTGTGGGAGGGGCCTTGTGACTGTGATGGGATGTCACTGTCTTAATTAAGTTACCTTATGTGGCAAAAGTAAAGAGGTTTCCACCTATGACTCCATCCAGGATTGTAATAGTTTTGTGCCTGTGTGGTGATAGAAGCAAGGTCTGATGCTGTAAAGAGCAACATAGGAACCTGGAATGTTAGGTCCATGAATCAAGGCAAATTGGATGTGGTCAAACAGGAGATGGCAAGAGTGAACATCGACATTCTAGAAATCAGCAAACTAAAGTGGACTGGAATGGGTGAATTTAACTCAGATGACCATTATATCTACTACTGTGGGCAGGAATCCCTTAGAAGAAATGGAGTAGCCATCATAGTCAACAAAAGAGTCTGAAATGCAGTACTTGGATGCAATCTCAAAAACGACAAAATGATCTCTGTTCGTTTCCAAAGCAAACCATTCAATATCACAGTAATCCAAGCCTATGCCCCAACCAGTAACGCTGAAGAAGCTGAAGTTGAATGGTTCTATGAAGACCTACAAGACCTTTTAGAACTAACACCCAAAAAAGATGTCCTTTTCATTATAGGGGACTGGAATGCAAAAGTAGGAAGTCAAGAAACACCTGGAGTAACAGGCAAATTTGGCCTTGGAGTACGGAATGAAGCAGGGCAAAGGCTAATAGAGTTTTGCCAAGAGAAAGCACTGGTCGTAGCAAACACCCTCTTCCAACAACACAAGAGAAGACTCTCCACATGGACCTCACCAGATGGCCAACACCGAAATCAGATTGATTATATTCTTTGCAGCCACAGATGGAGAAGCTCTATACAGTCAGCAAAAACAAGACCGGGAGCTGACTGTGGCTCAGATCATAAACTCCTTATTGCCAAATTCAGACTTAAACTGAAGAGAGTAGGGATAACCACTGGACCATTCAGATATGACCTAAATCAAATCCCTTACGACTATACAGTGGAAGTGAGAAATAGATTTAAGGGACTAGATCTGATAGACAGAGAGCCTGATGGACTATGGACGGAGGTTCGTGACACTGTACAATAGACAGGGATCAAGACCATCCCCATGGAAAAGGAATGCAAAAAGGCAAAATGGTTGTTTGAGGAGGTCTTTCAAATAGCTGTGAAATGAAGAGAAGCAAAAAGCAAAGGAAAAAAGGAAAGATACACCCATTTGAATGCAGAGTTCCAAAGAATAGCAAGGAAAGATAAGAAAGCCTTCCTCAGCGATCAGTGCAAAGAAATAGAGGGAAACAACAGAATAGGAAAGACTAGAGATCTCTTCAAGAAAATTAGAGATATCAAGGGAACATTTCATGCAAAAATGGGCTCAATAAAGGACAGAAATGGTATGGACCTAACAGAAGCAGAAGATATTAGGAAGAGGTAGCAAGAATACACAGAAGAGCTGTACAAAAAAGATCTTCACGAGCCAGATAATCACAATGTTGTGATCACTCACCTAGAGCCAGACATCCTGGAATGTGAAGTCAAATGGGCCTTAGAAAGCATCACTGCAAACAAAGCTAGTGGATGTGATGGAATTCCAGTTGAGCTATTTCAAATCCTGAAAGATGATGCTGTGAACATGCTGCACTCAATATGCCAGCAAATTTGGAAAACTCAGCAGTGGCCACAGCACCGGAAAAGGTCCGTCTTCATTCCAGTCCCTAAGAAAGGCAATCCCAAAGAATGCTCAAACTACTGCACAATTGCACTCATCTCACATGCTAGTAAAGTAATGCTCAAAATTCTCCAAGCCAGGCTTCAGCAATACATGAACCGAGAACTTCCAGATGTTCAAGCTGGTTTTAAAAAAGGCAGAGGGACCAGAGATCAAATTGCCAATATCTGCTGGATCATCAAAAAAGCAAGAGAGTTCCAGAAAAACATCTATTTCTGTTTTATTGACTACACCAAAGCCCTCAACTGTGTGGATCACAAAAAACTGTGGAAAATTCTGAAGGCAATGGGAATACCAGACCACCTGACCTGCCTCTTGAGAAACCTGTATGCAGGTCAGGAAGCAACAGTTAGAACTGGACATGGAACAACAGACTGGTTCCAAATAGGAAAAGGAGTACGTCAAGGCTGTATATTGTCACCCTGCTTATTTTACTTATATGCAGAGTCCATCATGGGAAACGCTGGGCTGGAAGAAGCACAAGCTGGAATTAAGATTGCCGGGAGAAATATCGACAACCTCAGATATGCAGATGACACCACCCTTATGGCAGAAAGTGAAGAGGAACTAAAAAGCCTCTTGATGAAAGTGAAAGAGGAGAGTGAAAAAGTTGGCTTAAAGCTCAACATTCAGAAAACTAAGATCATGGCATTTGGTCCCATCACCTCATGGGAAATACATGGGGAGACAGTGGAAACAGTGTCAGACTTTATTTTTTTGGGCTCCAAAATCACTGCAGATGGTGACTGCAGCCATGAAATTAAAAGACGCTTACTCCTTGGAAGGAAAGTTATGACCAACCTAGATAGCGTTTTAAAAAGCAGAGACATTACTTTGCCAACAAAGGTCCGTCTGGTCAAGGCTATGGTTTTTCCAGTGGTCATGTATGGATGTGAGAGTTGGACTGTGAAGAAAGCTGAGCACCGAAAAGTTGATGCTTTTGAACTGTGGTGTTGGAGAAGACTCTTGAGAGTCCCTTGGACTGCAAGGAGATCCAGCCAGTCCATCCTGAAGGAGATAAGTCCTGGATGTTCATTGGAAGGACTGATGCTGAAGCTGAAACTCCAATACTGTGGCCACCTCATGTGAAGAATTGATTCATTGGAAAAGACCCTAATGCTGGGAGGGATTGGGGGGGCAGGACGAGAAGGGGACGACAGAGGATGAGATGGCTGGATGACATCACTGACTCGATGGGCATGAGTTTGAGTAAACTCCGGGAGTTTGTGATGGAGAGGGAGGCCTGGCGTGCTGCGATTCATGGGGTTGCAAAGAGTCAGACACAACTGAGCGACTAAACTGACCTGAACTGAACTGATTGATCGCCAGGCCAATTGTCAAACTTTGGTTCTCACCCTACAGAAACAAATACCTCTTAACCATCTCTCTGGTCAAGAGTACACACATTTATTGAGCAGTCTTCCCTCCAGGGTCAGACTCAAGAAGGAGACCCACACAGGCCCTGAGGCATACTCGTTCCTATTCAGGCAGGAAATTCCAGGGTCGTGGCTTCCCAGGATGTGGTTTAGCAAAGGAGGGGCATGCAGGCTCTGGGTAGACCAGCCATGTGGACCTGGGATTGCCTCACTCCGTGGGGAGAGAGGAAGGTTCCAGGTGGCTGGAGCAGAGCCTTGCAAAATAGGACATCTCAAACTTTTATGTGCACAGGAGTGACCTCAGGATCTAATCAAAATCCAGGATCAGAACCTATCAGGCTGGGACCTGGCATTCTGCTAAAAAGCTCTCAGGTGGCGTGGGTGCTGCTGATCCAGGGACCACGCTTTGAGCAACAAAGCTATAAAGCCTGGTGCCCACCCAGATCTGAGGACCGGGGACCCTGATATTCAGTACACATGAAGTTAGTGGTGGAGTGAACAAACCCAAATTGTGGATAATTCAAAAATTGTTTGTTGTACTTGGAAAGATCCTGATGATAATTAGCATTAAGCTAATAATGCATGTGTGTTTTTTTTTCTTTTTTCCTTTTGTGCATTTATCTACTGAATGAACACAGTTACCCCAAAAGCAAGATAAATAACTAGGGACCCTAATCTGGTATAAAACTACATGTGTCATCTACAATTACTATTGTAATTATCATTCAGGGTGTTTTATGAAACAGTAAATGTTCATAACATCCTGGATTTTAAGGGTGAACTTTTTCAAGCTAAGATTATCCATGTGATAACTGACATACTTGGAAATAAACTTTGGAACCCTTCTGGTTTATAACCTTGAGCTATAAACACTGGGAGTTTTATAAAAAGTGGCAATAAAATGTATATTATTAATAAAATATGCCTTATGGAGAAATGAGATAAAATTGTTCCTACTTAATATTCATGCTGCATTTTATCATTCTCTAGTATTTATTATTTTGAGACATAACTCTGAAGAGACTTTGAGACCTCCCTCTGAGATTGTTCATTCTCTTTTCTATGCTACATTTATAGACTATTTACAAAACCATTCACTTAAAAAAAATTCTATGGTGAAAGTTAAGACCTTGGGCCATTTGTTTCTTTATTTTATCTGAGCTTCTTCTCTCACCATTAGTTTGAGGAAAGGTAAAATAATCAATTGAGTACACTTTTGATGAAGAGGTTGCTGATGGGTCAAAAAAAACCCCTGGAATCCAGATGAATTTATGAGCTATTCCAAGAGAATTAGGAATCTTCCTTTTCTCTCCATACATTCGGCTTCTCAGTGCCACTAAAGCCCCTGCTTTAAGCTATATAAATTAATACATTTGCTGGAAATGTGACTTTAGGACATTTTATAGCAGTGATTTCAATGCTGTTAGTGGTGAAATAGAAACTTGAGAATGTGAAGATTAATTTAAACCACATGATGGGTTCAAGGAAAATACACTACAGCTTCTTGAATGTGTTCTAACTCTGTACAGTGGGGAATGGGATCCAAAAAACCACCAATGAACTTTTAAACCCTCTTGAGGGGAATCAAACCAACACAATTAGCCCTGGAAGGGAGCTGATCCAGATGACAGACAGACCATCTCTCTGTCTCGCTCGCAAACAGAGCCCTGTGCCTGAGAACACAGTTGGGAGATCAAGGACAGAGGAAGAACCCCAACAGTTAGCACTAGTGGGATGAAGTTAGAACGATCTTTCCAGTTATTAGCTGGCTTACTCATTTATCTTTCATTGTAAATTAAAGTTTACAATTCAAAGTTTCTTTGAACAGTAGAAAACCAACCAATTGTATGCTGTGGACCATTGGTGCCTTTGAAATAAAAGGATTTCTTTTCCCTTCCAGTTTGTTGTCGTGTTGTTCTGGATCATTTATGCCTATGACAGAGAGATGATTTACCCGAAATTGCTTGATAATTTTATCCCAGGGTGGCTGAATCACGGAATGGTAAGTGAACAAAAACAAATGATTTCTTTTTATTAAAAAAAAAAATCTACTGAAGAGCTGTTTTCTAATTCAAGCTGTCCATAAAATCTAGCTAAGTAGCTGTGAAATGGAAATTATAATGAGATTGTAGTTAGAGAAGAAAACTGAATGTAAATTTAAAAAATGTCTTCTCATGTCATTGAGTCACTATTAAAACTGTAGAAACTGAATCCATAGTTTATGAGAGGTGTCAGTTGTGTTAGTTATAATACAGTTGGCTTATTCCAGGATGGATTTAATTTCCGTACCATTCAAAGGCTTGTCTTCTATTGGAGATGGAGGGTTGATTCCCACTTGCACCACTATGGATACCCCATAGTCCATGGAATTGTCCAGGCCAGAATACTGGAGTGGGTAGCCTTTCCCTTCTCCAGGGGATCTTCCCAACCCAGGGATCGAACCCAGGTTGCCTGCATTGCAGGCAAATTCTTTACCAGCAGAGCCACAAGGGAACCCAAGAATACTGGAGTGGGTAGCCTATCCCTTCTCCAGCGGATCTTCCCAACCCAGGAATCAAACCAGGGTCTCCCGCACTGCAGGCAGTTCTTTAGCAACTGAGCTACCAAGGAAGCCCATGCCTCCTCCACATCACATCAGTGAGATTGTGTTGCAAGTTGCTAATGTACTTGGAGAATTTTTCCCTGGAGGAGTGGCAGGCTGTTACTTTCCCTGGGAGGGCTGCTACAGACATTGGAGGTGTCTTGTCGGGGTCCGTTCATCCCAGGTGTTTGCCTATGGCTGTGATGTCTTTTCCTTCTTCACAGTCTAATTGTTTTGAACGCGTTAGACTTTACCTTCACGAGTTTCAAATCAAATACTTGATGCGGTTTGCACATCACTTGATAAAATTTGAGGATATATTTTCTGCAGAGAAATTTTGTGTTGTCTTCCCTATACATCTCTGGAATTGAGTGCTGTTTCGCTTATTAACTTAAGAAGCTCGCATTTCTTGGTTGCATCAATTTTTAGAATACGTCCCAGGGTGCTCCTAGTGAAAAGGGCAACCCATGGCAGAAATTATAGGGGAAGGAAAAACTGGAAGTCACGTGTCTGAGGTTCAAAATAAGTGTTTCCCTTCTCCCCCCAGTTTTGGTTTATTTTGAGAAAAGTGGTGTGTAGTAACAAACAAACATTATTGCACTAAGGAGTGAGCATTGATCAAACCTTTTGTAAGCCAACTCCTCAAAAGTAGCACATCTCAGAGAACTGGAATTTTCCTTGAGTCCAGTTTGAGCCACACTATAAAAGGATTAACATGGCACCTCAGGTCTAGTTACAAACAAATTAATCAGTTGGGGCTTTCTTGTCTACTGAATGTAACCGTCTCCAGAGCCTGACATGGTTACTCTGCCTCTCTCTAACGTGTTGCTTTTTTTAAATGTGGAAATACTCTCATAACTCCCAAGTCGTTGCCATCCTCTGCCTGCAATGCCCTTCCCATCCTTCGCTGGGAATCTCCCGCTCATGTTGCCAGCATGTATACTGTTTTCTTTATGGAGCCTTCACCTCCTCTCACAAGCCAAGTTCAGTCTGGTATTAGCTGTGCTTGCCCGGCACTTTTATATCTCCATAGTACATATCTGTATCCCCCATAAAAATGTTATAGTTACTGCAAAACGGTAGCCTTCGAATCCTGAGTCTTTGCCCAGCCACCTGGCGTATAGGAGGACCAGTACATATTCATTAGATTGATGATTAATTCAGTACAGCCAGTCGCCACAATTCTTTGCCAGTAAATACTAACAGTTTCTATTTTTTGAGAAACTACTGTGTGCCAGGCTATATAATTTAATTTTTACAGTGGTTCTATGAATAAGAAATTATCCCTTTTATAGATGAAGAAACTGAAGCTTAGAAAGTTTCCAACACCAGAAGGGCTTTAGAAGTATAATAGAGTCCTGGGCAGTTTGGCCTGTTGTCTATATCCCTAAACTATACAGTGTTGTGTTACCTTCTAACCAGAGAATAAATCACAATCTTTGCAGATCCTGGTGCTACTTAATGTTTCGAGTTTGTTAAATATGTATGCAGTTATTAGAACTTCAGCTGGACGCTCCTAATTTTCCCTTGACTAACCTTAACAGGTTAAAATTCTGACTCTTGGAGGAAACACTACTTAGAAATACAAGGATGATTTGACTGACACAAATATTTAGGAAAGGGAAAAGATAAATTAATGAACATGTCAAGTCCTCTCAGATAATATAAGCTCAGTAGATTTCTTCTCAATGAATTTTGTCTCAGAAAAGCCATGACCATTTCTTGGTTTTTTTCTTGTTCCAATTCATGGTTCAAGAATTCCTAACAAAGAAGTTATATTTGGTGGCTAAGGAATATTTTGTAAAATTAAACAATTTATATTGCTCTGAATATGTATAGATGAAACTTTAAATACAATATACATAAAACATGATGCTGATTCTTTGGCTTGGAAGTTAAAATATGAACATTAAATACTGGAATCATGAATAATTTAATTCGTGATTATTATAAAAATGTATAATACAGTTTATGAAACATAAAAAAATTAAGTCAGCATTTTTGGCTTTGTTTAAGTTATATTTAATTAATTATAGTTTGTATTTGCCTTTAATTTTAATAACTACTTTTGAATATCTAATTATAAAAATATGAAAATATTCATTACAATCTTTACATTTATTTGATGCTCATATTTTGATGAAAACATTCAAACTGTATACACTTTAGTTACAGTTATAGTCTATTTTTAATTGATGGTTTTGTTGATACTATCAGTAGAGCTCAACTTTTGTGAGAATTTCCATTATAAAAAGAAGGGCATGGCAACCCACTCCAATATTCTTGCCTGGAGAATCCTATGGACAGAGGATGGCGGGCTACAGTCCATGGGGTCACAGAGGGCTGGACATGACTGAAGTGACTTAGCACACATGCATAAATTTGCTGAAATAAAAGCAAGAAAACAAAATTGGGGGTATTTGCATTATATTGAATATTTATATTTATAATTATTAAATTTTACTATGCAACCATATTTTTCAATTTTGTTTTACAAAAAATATACCTAATCATGTTGGAGGATAGAATATATTTTGTTTAATACTTTCTAAGTTTAATTTGTAACTTTCACATATTTCTGCAAATGGCTTACAGCCCTCTAGGCCTGTTTGCTATTATTGCCTGCTTGGGTTGTTACAACTGCAAGAATTCCAAGAGAAAATGTACTGTGTTCTTACAGATAGAATCACATTCATTGCTTGAAGGATCTCAACGTCATTTCTAGGGATCCAGAGTGCTGTACCACAGAACTGAGATGCAGTGTATAAGTCTATCATGGCATCATTTCAGGAGAATCAAGTCAGTCTTGAATTTGCAGCATTCAAATAGGCATAAGAGAATACTCACAGGGTCTGAAATTCACAGGGGTTTCGATTTTGATTTTCACTGAAGTTGCCAGAAGTTGGACATGATTAGAACTAAAGGAAAATATCCTCTCTCTTTCCATTGTCTTTCTGTTTGCTCTTGGCAATCCTAGAATTTATTTGCAGAAGAGAAGAGGAAATGGCTGACTGGAAGGGTAATATACCCTTGCTGTGCAAACACTAGGTTATCTCCAGGCCCATTTAAATAGTAGTATATGCACACACACATGCACACCACACAAAGAATTTTAATTTATTACAACTAAAAATACAAACATATAAAGTATGGCACTTTTAAATAGAGTCAGCTCAATATCCAAAATCAAAAAATGTTTCTGTCCTTGCAACCCTATTTACCTTTGCATTCCCAGCAATTCAAATAGCACACAGTGCCTATTAGACCTTTACTTAGTGTCAATAATAAAAAAGATGTTTGTGTATTTGCTTTTGAAACTTAGAAGAATGTCAAGTTTACATTTATTTCCTTCTATCACCTTTTATTCTCAGTCCACTGATAATCAGACAAAGAGAAAACAGAAGTGATATCAGCAAATGAATCAGAGTTTCCAAAATGTAATGAGAGTGGTCACAGACAGTTGTGGTAGGATCTTTATGGCTGCCACATATGGAGGCTGGTCTTTGGTTTAATTCCATCTAGCTAGCATTTATTTGAAAACTTGCTACATGCAAGGCACCCTGGTAGGCACTATGTAGTTACTGGATGAGAAAAACACATGTAATTTTAAAGAATGGGAAAGGCATGTTTGAAGTGGATGAAGGTATTTATTAATAAGTAAGAAAACCATTTCTCAGACCAACAGAGCATCCCCAATAGGTTGTGTTCACTCACACTAGGAGAAGCACTGTTGTTATTCTGGCTTATTTCTTGGTTGCAAAAGTAGAACCGTGAACCTTTCTCTCTTGCTGAGTATAATTTTAAAGCATTGTCAATGGGGCAAATATACATTAAAAACAATAAATAAATATTTAAACTCTAGAAAGATTGCAGACTCTCAGTGATGCTATAATAGGGAAGAGCAACAATAAGACAGTCTCCTAGCTTATGGAAGACCTAATTAATGTTTATAAAGTGCTTTGAGAATGTCAAGCACTGCAAAAGTTTGGGATATTATTATTATCCCACAGATCTTTAAGCAGACATGACCTCGATGCTCTTATCATCACAGCAGGAGTTATTCATTCCTTATATAATTTATCAGGAGACAGAATATAAGTCCCACCTCTCATCATGCTTGATTTGTCAGTCGTCCTTGTTATATGTAACTGATCCTCAAGAGAACCTTAATTTAGGCAAATGTTTATTCTGTTAATATTATTTTGACATTTAGTAATTACTAAAGTTCTTGTACATCTGTCTTTCCCAGAAGAGAAAGCATTAAATACTGCTTGGATGATCATTGGTTTTGTAGAAACTCAGATTTGACATTCTTCTTTTAGTAAATAATAAAGCTTATGGAAATTTTCCATTTCTAGGATACAAAGATTATGCATTTCATTGCCCATAGAGTCTGCCACCCTGACATTGTATATTTCATA